TCCTCGGCCGGCCGCATCTGTTTTTTTTTTTTTTTTACAGGCGAGGAAAGTGATTTATTCCGTCTTCGCGGAGCGTCAAGCAATTAAAATATCATTTGCAGGTGTTATTTTCCGTCTCTTTGTGCAGCCGGTTCATTAATTGTCTCTTCTGTTGTGTGTGTTTTGAAGGAAAATCTACAGAAGTTGGTTCAGATCGAGTACAGCGTCAGGGGACAGGGCGGCCTGCTCCAGCCGGGAAGAGTAAGTGCGATATTTCTGACGGCCGGATCAATAACGAATCCATCATTCAAGAAAAACTCCCGGAGAACGTCCTCGCTTCTTACTCCTTATGTTGTTCCTAGAAAAATGGGAGATACAAACGCCATTCCTCATTCGGGGCCGCTCACGTTAGACCGTAGCATCTTCCTTTGTGCGCTGTGTACGGACAGCAGTGGGGAGGTTAGGGGGCGGGGTTAGGTAGCGTTGTGCTGTGTCAGCGCATCACACCCTATTAAAGATTTTTTTTTTTTACTTTATTGAATTGTCACAAAATGACACTTTATTAGAGTTAATGCGCCGCAGTTGCGTTGAGATGTCTTCAGGAAAAACAGTGGTGAGCTTCGGGGAAAAAGGGCGTCACGTCTGCATTTTTCCGCAGCGTGCTGCAACCGACCTTAAGTCATTGTTGCAGTGTGAGCAGGACTCGCAGAACACAATTGTTTTCTGTAGGGATGCACTAATAGCGCTTCTTCGGTGGACCAATATTTTTTTTCGGTACTCGCCGATACCGGAAGTCCCATTAAGGAAGCCAGGTGGCGTGTAATGCCTCGTCTCCATGCTTCCTCGTCACCAGGTGACGAAAGAGCATGATGCCGGCTTTCTGGCCAATCAGTAAGCCAGGGGGGAGTGTAATAACTCGCCGTCTGGCTTCCTAATTGGCCAGCTTCCCGACCAAGCAGGAAGCCAGGCAGTGAGTCATTACACGCTGTCCGGCTTCCTGGTTGGCCGGGAAGACGGCTCCATGCTCCCTCGTCACTGCCTGGCTTCCTGGTTAGTCAGGAAGCTGGCCAATCAGGAAGCCAGGCGCCGTGTAATGATGCGGCGCCCGGCTTTCTGATTGCCCAGGAAGCCGGCTTCATGCTCCCTCGCCACCTCGTGACGAGGCCAATCAGGAAGCTGGGCATCGCGTCATTACACGGCGCCCAGCTTCCTGATTGGCTAGAAAGCTGGCTCCATGCTTTCTCATCACCTATTGACGAGAGGCATGGGGACAGCTTCCCTGCTAATTGGGAAGCCGGGTGGCAAAACTTTTACACGCCGCCCACCTTCCCGGCTAATCAGGAAGCCAGGTGGCGAGTCATTACACGCCGCCTGGCTTCCTTAATGGGACTTCCAGTATCGGTATTCGGTATCACAAGTGACGATGGAGCATGGAGCAAGCTTCCCGGCCAATCAGGAAGCTGGGCAGCGTGTAATGACTCGCAGCCCAGCTTCCTGATACCGGAAGCTCAAGTATCGGGCTAGGCATCAGAACATTTGGGCGAGTAACAGGAAGTGGTAGGAAATCTCCCAAAGTGAGCGGAATTTCACCCTTGGACAGGTGTCCCCACTGAATGAATTCCCCTTGACTCTTGTTCTGGGGACAACTCTAACATTTAGTTTGTTTTCTTACTTTCTTTTTCAGTAACAATGGTCAGCAGGACACATAGGGGTCTGTTTATAAACAATTTGCAGAGCCAGTCGCCCTGTGAATGTTCTCTCTGTGCCAATAGAGGCAAAAACAAATGTTTTTAGTCTGGTTTCTTTTCGTATCCAATGTAATATAATGCCACATTATGTCCACTAGATGGTGCTGATGAGCATAGGAAATAAATGGATATGCTCCTCAGCTCCATCTAGTGACCACAGTGCAGAATTACATTACATTGGATCTGAAAAGGAAATGGACTAAGCACATTCGTTCATGGATGAGAAGCACGTTGGCATTGTTGATGTTCCACAATTCGCAGCGTAGACTCGGGTAGTGACTATTTCTGCAGAAAGATGAACAATCCTATTTTTAGTGTTAATTGGGATTTTTAGAGTGACAGGTAGGAAGCCACGAGGTCAGGCAATGTGAGAACGCTTCAGTTCTCGGCTTGTTAAGTTTTTCACACCGATTTTCTGTTGCCGCAGGCGTTTGTGAAGGAAGGCACGCTGATGAAGGTGTCCGGAAAGGCCCGCCACCCTCGCCATTTGTTCCTGGTAAGATATACGTAACAATGTATCCAGTAAATGCTGCAAGCACTATTTTGTTCGGACCAGACCACAGGCATAATGTGCCTTGTAATCCCGTGAGGCCGATCGCATTGCAGCCGGAGGGCGTGGCTACGGTGCCATTCACTTCAATGGCCCGCCACGCCCCCTCCTGCCCCACAAAAAAGTGAGCCGGCCGCAATGCGAGGCAGTGTGCTCTGGCCAGAATCGGGCCGGCACGCACTGCATCTGGTGTGGACGGGCCCAAACACGACCGGAGCCTTTTTCACTTCATACGTTTTCCAAACCCGGGAAACCTTCCGCCGGCGACTGAACGCTAATAATCATTCCTAGTGTATAATTAAATCTTCTGTGCGCTAATCAGCGTCGCCATGTCAACGGAATGTGCGCCGGGCACTTCCCAGAGCAGGCGGACAAACAATGCCTTGGCACCGGCCCAAAAATCCGTTTTATCATCTGGTTCCTCGCGCCGGACTCCATCTGATTAACGCTTTTCCTTTCAATCTCAGCGACTCTCTCTCTCGGTGGAATACGGAGCGGGGCCGTCAGTGGTGACGTCTTCATTAATTAGGAGACGAGATTATTATTTTTTTCTTGCCTTTTGCAAAACAAAAAAACTAAAAATGTCGCCCAACTGCGCCTGGATTAAAAATTCGGGAGGTGGGGGTCTAAGGCGGGCACCTAGGCGTGCTTGCATGGACCTGTAGAACCCGTCATGAGCACCTTGTGATCCCTGCAAAATTAGGAGCTTAAAGAAGAACTGAAGCCAATTATTTTTGTTTTAATTAAATATACCCCCCATCAGTGGCGTCACAAGGGGGGAGCGGGGGTGCGGCCGGGTTACACCATTGGAGGGATGACACCAAAATGACTGACAGCAGTCATTTTGGTGTCACCCCCCCCCCTAAAAAGTCGGGCGCTCACTCATGGACCGAGAGCCCGACAGTGTCAGGAGAGAGGAGGGCAGGCGTCAATGAGATGACCGTGCGTGCGCAATGACGTCACGGCGGGGTGTCACCCGGTCTCCGCTCCGGATGACACCCAACCTCGGGACATTGTTTTGTTTTTTTACATCTGTGTCCCCTTTGGGGAGATTTTCCTTCACATCCTGTTTGATAGCTACAACAGGAAGTGAACGGAAATCCAAATTCAAAATGAAAGAAATCCCTGATGTTCAACAGAACTAGTGTCCCCACTGCAAGATTTCCCCTCTATTCCTCCTGTTCTGGTGACAACCCAAAATTGGGGAATATCTTTCAGTGATCACTTTCATCAGGACCAATAGGGTGAATTTCCCTAACGGGGACGCAGACAGCAGTAACCACCTGACAGGTGTCCATTGACTTGCATTAGATGTGAGGATGCCACGGCTGGAGCGGAGGGGGAGAGAGGTGAGTGGAATGTCCCTTGCCATCCTCATGTCTAATGCAAGTCAATGGACCTACCTAAGGCATGATGACATCAGCGGTCCCTAGACCCGGGGGAGAAGAGGCTGCAGGGACTGGTCTAGCGGCCCAACGGGACTGACGAGCAGGTAAGTAAATCTACTTTCTTAGACACAACGAGCCATTAACCCTTGCAGTCAGTGGGGCTACCCAAGTCTAATGCAAGTCAATGGACCTACGTAAGACATGATGATGTCATAGGTCCTTAGACCACCAGAGCCCTGCGGGTACAAGAGGCTGCAGGAACCGGTCTAGCAGCCCGGCAGTATTAAGGATCAGGTGAGTAATACTGTACAGTAACCTCACTAGACAAAATGAGTACTTAACCCTTGCAGCGCCGGGGTAGCCCCAAGGGTAAGTTTTTTTTTTTTTACATTCCCAGAGTTTTTCTATAGGCAGTGCTGCAGTGTCTGCTGGATGTCATCAGGATGGATGATTTCAGTG